GAAATTTGTAATGGATCCAAATAATTTATTATTAATTCTAAATATAATGAATAATTTGCAAGCTGCAGAAATTGTAAACCATCCGCGACAACATTAATTAAACCATTTAAAGTTTCAGCAATATCTGACCACTGTTTTTGGGCCTTTTTGTGAGTGAAAGTAGAAGAAAACTTTCATTTTAAAAAGTTCTTCGTTGTTTCTAAGCATATTAATTTCTTTTTTGCGCTTTCGACGTGAACGAACGCTTCATCATAATTATAATAATATTAAATTTTTTGTGTTTTCAAATATACTTCTATTCAAATTGAAGTTATATTAAATTACTACGAATATCATGGAGATGTCTAGTCTCCCTGACGAATATAATGACATTTACAAAACAAACTTCAAAATCAAATCAAGTGACTAAACATCAGGGTCGCCAATAATGGCACTGAAATATTGAAGAAAACTCTGCCCGCTGATTGGTCAGTTGCAAATATATCCTCGACATACGGCATAAATTAAATTCTCTAGAGAATTGGATTCCTTCAACGTTCAAAAATAAGTATTTCAGTTTTTAAGAGAAATTTGTCAGGTGAATTTTTTCTCTGGAGAATCAGTTCTCCTGTTTTCAAAAATCAAGCCCCAGTTACAAACTCAAACTAGCTTCTGTAATATATGCTTCTGTACTTTTGTGCTTCTGTGTTGAGCTGGCTAAATACCCTCTGGGGTGCCTCTGGGTGAAGGCCAAAAAAGAAGAAGAAGAAGAAGAAGTGCTTCTGTGTTCCGTACTGCAGTGCTTTTGCTTTACAATTTGCTGCTTTATATTTGTATATACTTTATGGTGGACGGTAAATAAACATGAAATTTAATTCAAGGTTTGTCGTATCGCAATAAAGTAATTTAAAACTGTAAAAATAAATACGTTATTCATGAAGCTTCGTCAACAAATTGAATTCAGTTTTTCTACCTTGAAAGTAAACATTTTTGTCATATAAGTTTTTGCTGACGTTTAAACGATACGTGTTAGTCAAAAGTTTCGATGAGAGATACATCTTTTATGTGATTTAATTTAGGTTTATTTGTGTAAATATTCGTTACGGCAGTAAAAATGATATTGATAATAACGATTGTAGCACTTGCAAAGTTTTTGATTCAAGTCGATTCGTTTTATTTGCCGGGATTAGCTCCCGTCAATTATTGTAAAGAGGACGAGTCGGATGTCTGTAAGGTACGCATTTTTAATGTTTCCTAGTAACTCACATTGCTAATAAATACATTTCTTTTACAGGCTGATGTAAAATTATATGTCAATCGATTGAATACTGAGGAATCCGTAATACCTTACGAGTACAATCATTTCGATTTTTGCTCACCAGACGATGATTCTAAATCACCAGTTGAGAACTTGGGTCAAGTTGTTTTTGGTGAAAGGATTAGGCCTTCGCCTTACAAAATCAAATTTATGAAGAATGAGAGTTGTGTATCTGTTTGTAAAAAATCTTACAGTGGGGCTAATGCGAAGCATAACCTACTCTTAAGTGTATTAAGAAAGGGTATTAGTCTTAATTACCAACATCATTGGATAGTAGACAATATGCCAGTGACTAGCTGTTACGAGACTGACGATAATAGGCAATATTGCACCACAGGATTCCAAATGGGTTGCTATGTAAGGAATGGCAGACAGACTTGTTTGAGGCCCACTAGTAACCAAAATGCTTATTACATTTACAATCACGTAGATTTAAAAATCACATATCACTCGGGTGCTAAAGAGGACTGGGGCAGTCAATTTGGAGAAAACGGGGGGAGAATTATTTCTGTAAAAGTAATACCAAGAAGCATTGACCACAAAAAGAGCATTGACAAAAAGTAAGGAAATTGCTTGTATACAATTTCTAAACAATTAATATTCTTATATTTTTAGTGATATGTGTTCTCATAATAACGAACCTTTGAAATTTCCGACAAATCCTTTAAAGAAAAACGAAACCTACGAATTAAATTATACATACTCTGTAATCTTCGTCCAAGACAACACTGTGAAATGGTCTTCAAGATGGGATTATATTTTGGAATCCATGCCTCACACCAACATACAGTGGTTTAGCATCTTAAATTCCTTGGTTATTGTCCTGTTCTTATCGGGCATGGTTGCCATGATATTACTAAGGACTTTGCACAAGGACATAGCAAGATACAACCAAATCGATAATGGAGAGGATGCTCAGGTAGGTGCACATTTTTGTTTGTGAAAACTAATTTTTAATGCAAATTGTTCGGGGTAATTGGCAAATGTACTGCTACCAGAAGAGGTGCATATAGGAGACGCTAATGTACAGTGTTTTTGTGCAACTTACTGGCAAATCAAGTTGCTTTGTTTAATTAGTAGATGGTGTTAAAAGTTTTAAAAAATTTTTATAGCGAATTATGATTATTGAAAAAAACTTACGTGTAGGTTGATCTATTTTATATTTATTGTTCGTTCAGTGTTTGAATTTTTGGTACCGTGATTAGCAAAAGTTCTATAGTTGAAATTTGACATTCAAATATCGATAGCAATTTTTTTTTTATGAAAGATTTGTGGTCGAAGGAAAAAGTAAGGATGTATGGAAAGAGATTTGTATCATAGAGTTCAATAATCAGTAAATAGGATAACAGATATTGTATGATATTTTATTTAAATCAGGTGGAAACATACAGACATAAATATGTCAACTTATACGAGAATATGGGATTGAAATACTTTACTCGAATATGTACTTTAGAATAGATGTCGGCAAGATAGAATCTCTCCAGTGCAGTCACATGATTATTACTATCCGCTTGGTGTTAGAGTAAATCGTAACGAAGCAAATTAAATTGTAATTTGTTCCTTTAAGTCTGAAGATATTGGGATTTGTGATAAGACAAGGTTACGATTTTCATGATTTTAATGATAATGTGTTACTCAAATTATTTTATGCAAGTGTGAACTTGAATACTGTTCACTGGTTTAGGTTACTTTATATAATGTTTATATAAACATAATTGACTCTTGTGTTGAAAAAATATGTCAGTTATGTGTTATTTGTACTAATTATATTTAGAGATATTATTTTCAGTTTTCATTATGGATAATTAATTATTACTGATATTATTTACGAGGTATTACTGGTACAATTCAGTACTAGTTGGCGCATAGAGCAGTTGTTTGAGCTCATTTGATATGGTTTAAAAAAAAAAATTGAATTTGTGTGAATTAGCACCTCAATAGATTAAAAATAGGAGAGTTATTAATAGAGGATATGTTTTTTAAAATGAAATTGCTCTGATCACAAATTTTTCCCATCTGTAAATTGTTACTATTAAAGTTGAATCTCTGTAGAATCATTATTTGAACAGCATTAAATTAGATGAATTTGATGAGAAAATAAAGGTTTTTTTCACGGTAAAAACTTTGCCGAGTTTATGTTGATGCACACTGTTTCCGGAATAAAATATATAGTGCATCTCAGAAGTAACGCAAAAAAATTTGTATTTTATTTTGTATTGCATTTTCACGAAAACGCTAAAACACGTCAATTAGTAAATAGAAATTGTCATTTTGTCACGTTGCTTAAACCTTTTTTGCGCTGCTTCATAAACCTATGACGTTATTGATTTTTTTTTAAATAGCACTACCTTATTTTAAGCATAAATGGATAGCCCTTTTGAAGGGAAATGCGTCAATATAGGGTTTGGCCTACTTTACTTTGACAGGTGCGAAAAAAAGCCAACGTTTGGAATGGACATGATTTAAAATAACAACAAAAGTAGGTATCATAAACTGATGCGAAAGGTATCAGTTTCCTATTTTAATTGACGTGTTTTAGCATTTTTGTGAAAACACAAAATAAAATACGAATTTTTTACGTTACTTCTGGGACACACTTTATATGAGGAAAAGTGTAACTGAGGTCACAATTTTAGGGCATTTTGCCTACACCACCATAATCTGATCAAGACCAGTGTCTTCTGGTGTATTCTCTTAATCTTGTGCTTGAATGACATGATAATTTTGCTATTTCTGAATCACCTATGTGGTAAATTTTCATTAAAAAATGTCAAATTATTTATAAAATATAAATTAATTCTATTCTAATTAAACAATTTCTCCCTTAGCTTTAGATGAAATTTAATATTTATCAAAAACCAACCATGGTTTTGTGGTGATAAAATTGTTAATTACATGAACATTTTTAATGATGTGGAGAGATAAACAGCCATAATCTAGCTAACTTAAAATGTATGCCGCAAAAAAATCCTTATACTGTAGCTTAATTTACAGAATGAGAAAAATCTAAAATAAACGCGTCTTTTTTTTTATTGCGTTGCTGAAAATCATGACCATTCCCAATAATTTTCTTGAAACGACATACAATTTATCAGCTTTGTTTCTTATTTTGTGTTAAATAAATCAAATTTTCTACACTCAGCAAAAAAAATTAAAGGAGCAGAAAAGTTTCAAAATTTCTTTAGTGATTTTTGAAATTCTGTAACTGAGTGAATAATGCTCGTATCGAGAAAATAAAAAGAAGCATATTGAAGCTTGAAGTTTCTAGTTTTGAAATCTTGAGATGAAAATTTAGTTTGAGCATCACTTTTGTCGCAATCAAAAGAAATAATGCAAGGCAAAAATTTAACAATTTTCTTTACAATTAAACTCGGGATCATTTAGCCTGATTCATCAGCTTCAATTTAGTTATTTTATTTTCTGCGTGATTATTTCCCTTTTAGATAGATTTCTCTTAAAGTGAAAAGTTACCTGTTTTTTTGATCTTCGATATTTCATTAACTAATGATCGTACAGCGAAGAAGAGGTGGGTTTTGGAAACCTGAATCAAACCTTTTCAAGGGCCTTTTAGTATGTTTGAAATTTTTTTTTATATACTTGGCATTAATTTGGAAAAGTGCAAAAAAAATAGTTATTTCTGCTGTTTTGGAAAATCAACGACTACTTTGCAAATATTGCGAAAAGTACCAATGTTAATCAACCTAGCAATAAACCTGCTCCTTTAATTTTTTATAAAACTCTGACGATTCAGGAAAGGAAAGCGGTTCGACTGATCGATTTCAAAATTTTCAGGCCACATGGGCATGTATTGAGCTAAAAAAAAACTACAAATATAGACCTATACATTAAAATAACACCTGAAGTTTTTAAAGTTATGTCATAAAGTAACATCTATACCGGGGGTCGGCAAATAATTTTAGGTGGGGTCCGGATACTTTTGAAAATTTTTAACGAGGTCCAGAAAAAATTCATATTTCTTATTTTTTTGTTTTAATTTGGACTCAAATTTAATCTGCTTACTAATTAAGAACTCAAAATATTCACACAATTGTAAAATACTAGAAAAAATGATAAGATTGGCACTTAAACGTCAAAAACATTTTTTAAATAAATTATTTGAATAATTTATACTTTCAAAAAATTTTTGGCTGTCCAGTATTTTACCTTCCGCGGTCCGGACCTGGACCGCGGTCCGCCAGTTGCCGACCCTTGATCTATACCAAAGTATACAAAATTTCATATAAGTCACATGTCCCACAGGAAGAATTTGGCTGGAAGCTGGTACACGGGGACGTATTCCGGCCCCCAAGGAAAGGAATGTTGCTCTCTGTACTCCTGGGTTCGGGAGTGCAAGTATTCTGTATGACTCTCGTTACTCTAGCGTTCGCCTGCCTGGGATTCTTGAGTCCGGCCAACAGGGGAGCCCTTATGACCTGCGCCATGGTGCTGTACGTGCTTCTGGGTTCGCCCGCCGGATACGTTTCCGCCAGGATTTATAAGAGTTTCGGTGGTGAAAAGTGGAAATCCAATGTCTTGCTCACGTCTATGCTGGCTCCTGGGTAAGTTGCTGCGTTTCTATTTATTTTGTAGAATGTATAAAAAATATGTATTGGATACTATCGAAGCTGCGGTTCTGATTTTGTAGCAACTAATAATTTAACTGAACTTAAATTAATTCAATGCAATTAGGTAAAAATTTAATTTATTTAATTCATAATATGTAATTAGGTTTTCGAAGTGTGTGAAACGGCATTGCAACTGACAGTGACAAAATGGAAACTTATTTAAGTAACTCCTCTTTGTTTCTATTATTAAATAAAAGAATGACAGTGGTATGAGATTTTAGTTGAGCTTCTTGTTAATAGAGGGCGCAACTGAGGCATAGTCTAGCATGTCACAACTGTCTGCCAATTTCGTTTCATTTTATGTTTTCTTTTTTTTAAATTAACAGCTAAATAATGATTTCATACAAAAATTAAAAATAAACATGTTTTTTGTCACATTATTTTATTTTCTGGTATATCTGAAAAGGTGTGAAACCCCTAGGGATCAACATAATTTACTAAAAAAATTAGAAAGCTGTAGTTTCTAGGAAATATTCTATTACGGTTAAAAGATACTTATCTAAGCAAAAGCAGATAACGAAGATAACTACTTCTACGTCACACCCAATAATTGATGAGTACGGAGTACCTCAAGGAAGTGTATTGGAGTCATTGTTATTTTTATTGTGCAATTTTTTCATTCTTATCACAATTGATTTTATTAACCTTTTTGCTTGGGATACTTCAATAAAGAATATTATTATTAACTTATTGTCGCAAATGTAATATTTTTTTGATTCCAGGATAGTTTTTGGGTTATTTTTCATCATGAATTTGGTGTTGTGGACTAACGAGAGTTCAGCGGCAGTGCCTTTCAGTACTTTAGTGGGATTGCTAGCGTTGTGGCTACTGGTTTCTGTACCTCTTACATTCGTCGGGGCGTTCTTTGGATTTAGGAAGAGGGTGAGTATTTAATATTTACCTCTGTTCACTGTACATTTAATATTCCAGAAATGCCATAAGTAAATAATTTCGAACAATATCTTTATAGTCCGGTCAACTCTGTGGCAACTCCTTATTTAATGTTTTATTTTGTAAATTTTTTCTGAAATATTTTGGTCATGAAAGTTCTCTTTGTGAATCTAACGAGCGTTCAAATAAAAACGTGGTCAAGTTGGTTCTGAAAATTTGGACGTAGGGCGTAGCTTATAGCAAATGAACTTAAACGTCATCTGTTAAAGCGCTATATCGCCGTTATCAATTTGAATATTTTCATTTTAAAAAGCGTTTAAAATGGTGTTTTCTCAAGAACAAAAAGTGTTTATCATAGAGTCCTACTTTAGAAATGGACGCAAGATTGATGGAAGTATTCTATTGAGGAATGTTTCATAGAATTTCAAAATCAATTTCCCCGGCGTTGTTGAGTACAAAATTTTTCAAAGTGCAGTTCAGCGTTGTGTTAATGTTTTTCGTGAAACGGGCAGTGTAACAAAAAAAGAAGGAAGCGGCCGACCTAAAAAGCGGACTGAAGAATTAAAAGAAAATGTCCAACAAATAATGGAAAATGCGCCAAGAACTTCTGTACGTGTTTTATCACAAATGGTGGGAGTATCAGTTGGTACCTGCCACACAGTGTTAAAAAAAGATTTGCGTTTGTTCTCCTATCGTTTAACTTGTCAGCAAGAACTTCATGAAGTTGATTTTCCGCGACGTGCTGTATTTTGTGAATGGTTTTTAAACAACTACGGTGAACTTCATAATATCACCTTTTTTTCTGATGAAGCCTGGTTTCATTTAAGTGGTTACGTAAACTCACAGAATATGAGAATGTGGTCTTCTGAAAAACCAGATAACTTTTTTGTCGAGGGCCCTCTACACGCTCAAAATATTGGAGTTTGGTGTGCTCTCAATCGAAGGAGGATTTATGGACCTATTTTTTTTAATGTTACTCTTACTGCGCAAAGGTATAGAGAAGAAATGATCGCTCCTTTTGTTAACCAGCTGGAAGAAAACGAAATTACAAACTTTTACTTTCAACAAGATGGCGCAAGGGCACATACGGCAGGCGAGACGATGAATATGTTGAGGGAAGTTTTCCAAAATCGACTAATAAGTCTCAATGCTGAACATGAATTTCCACCGAGGTCATGTGATATTACGCCGTGTGATTTCTTTTTGTGGCCTTACCTTAAAAACACTATTTTTGAACTGCCTATTCCTGATTTAAACTATCTGCAGGCTCGACTTATAGACAAGATTCATTAAATTAACAATACCCCGAGCATCTTAGAAAATGTCTTTAATTCTTTGAGGAACAGGTGTGAAAAGTGCTTGGAACAAGGAGGGGGACACTTTCAGCAGCTGCTTTAATTTATTGTTATAACAAAGAGGGGGACACTTTCTGCAGCTCCTTTAATTGTTTGTTATTGTTATCACGATTATTCTTTAAAATAAAGTTATATAGTCATTAACTTATTGAAACTGACAGCTGCTATACAGCTCGTTGAGAAATGAGGTTAGGTTGGTCGCTATAAGCTACTCCCTACGTCCAATGTGTCAGAGCCAACTTCGACCACGTTTTTATTTGAACGCTCGTTATAAATAATCTCCATAAAACAGGATCCCTCGCTTTGTTATTAAAATATAACCACTTCCTTTTTCACCAGCTGCCACTGGGTAAAATTTATAACAAAATCGCCTAAATTGGCATGACATTCAAACGTTACAAATATCTACACACTCTGTGCCAATGAGGAACTGGATTTTTTTTGAGCAATTACTATTTACAGACATGCCGTGAATAATGTTAGGCGACTCAAGTTTTGCTCCGAGGAAGATACTGGTTGCAGTGATGGGAAGATCAATTTATTTTCAGGACCCGGGTCATTCAGGTCAATTTTTAAAATGATCTGTTCATGAAGACCCATTCACATGAACGGTAACAAAATAGTATCGAATCTATTCTGTATCATTTGATGTTCCGTTTCGTTGGTCGGTGCGCTTTAGAATGCCTTTTTTCGTCATGGCTTGCGGCAGCTAATTTCTTCCTGCACATACACTATCGACATTTGATAGTGCACGTGCCATAAATTTTTTATATTTGTATTTTTTTTAAATAAACAAATGCGTTATTTAATTCCAGACACTTTTTTATAAATGTAAATCACGTCAGAAAATGTATTACCTATCCAAAAAATAATACAGATATTGTGACACAACGTGAACGGGTCAGTTACAGGTCTTTTAGAAGATTCAGTCATTGCGATAACGATAGACCACTAAACTGGTTAGCCGATTTCAAACGTGTGCTGTTTGTAATTTATGACAAATTGTGGTTTTTAAACTTTTTTGATTTCGGCACCTGTTTTTTTTTCTTTTTCAGGCTTTGGAACACCCCGTCAGAACCAACCAGATACCGAGGCTGATTCCGGAACAGACGGTGTACACCCAGCCCCTGCCCGGCATCATAATGGGTGGCGTGTTACCTTTCGGTTGCATCTTCATCCAGCTATTCTTCATCCTGAACTCGATCTGGTCCTCCCAGATGTACTACATGTTTGGTTTCCTCTTCCTCGTCTTTATAATACTGGTCATCACTTGCGCCGAGACGACCGTCCTCCTCTGCTACTTCCACCTCTGCGCCGAGGACTACCACTGGTGGTGGCGCTCCTACCTTACCTCCGGCTTCACGGCAGTCTACCTTTTCCTCTACTGTTGCCACTACTTCTTCACCAAGCTGCAGATCGAGGACGCCGCCTCCGGCTTCCTCTATTTCGGCTACACGTTGATCATGGTGTTTCTGTTCAACCTGCTGACGGGCACGATAGGGTTCTTCGCCTGCTTCTGGTTCATCCGGAAGATCTACAGCGTGGTGAAAGTGGACTGAGGCGTCGGATCGTTTTGCGATGCATCGTTAATCGGTTTAGTGCAGAGGTGTATGTTTTGTTTCGAACGGGGTGTTGTTTATTTCGGGGGTGACGTGGTGGAGGGGCGCGAGGTGGGGTGTGTGCCGATCTGGAAGGCTTGGAGTTATCGGGGGATTTCGTTTGTGTGGAAACGTCAGGATTTCTGTCGTTTTCGCAGGATTTTGGAGTTCGGGTTTTACTTACGGGGTGGCGCTGTCGGTTGAATCGCTGGTAAGTAACTTCGGTACAGTAGCATTTAAGAGGGCTCTGTAGCGAATAGGCAACCAGCAATACGTTTTTATAGATTTTATTGCACAGTTTTGTCTAAATATGCATTAATGCACAAATAACAGACTTTCCCCCATTCTAACGCTGGTTTTCTATAAAATGGACTTAGTTTCAAACTCAAATTACTTTTAGGTGTAAAGAAATTTGTAATTTACGATGCCAAAAGCGGCAAATTACAAATTTCTTTACATCAAACAGTAATTTGAGTTTCAAACCAAGTCCATTTCATAGAAAATCTGTGTTAGAATGGAGGAAAGTCAGTTATTTGTGCATCGATTCGTATTTAGAGAAACTGTGTAATAAAATCTATAAAAATGTATTTCTGGTTGCCTATTTGCTGTAGAACCGTCTTATTTGTACGTCAATCTGCAATGCCTGCATTGTACGTTTTTTCTGTTGATTATCCCTTATATTACTATTAGGTATTTTCTTTTTAAGATAAAATGGCATTAAATAAAAAATAATATGTTTTTCGAGAAACATGGAGATTTTTCGTCAAATTCCAATATTCCTTCGTTTATTTTGACTGGATTCAAGATTTCATTTCAAAATAAAATTGATTTAAAAAAAATACACAAAAGAAAAACAATTTTTATTCTGTGTCGTAATCGATGTGTTTTTAATTCTAATTTGCGCTTCTTACATTAATTTATCAATAATGCGGTTGTAGTTAATATTTCTTTCTCGTAATGACGATCTCAATAATTTGTCTTTTGATCCGAATAAAGTGATAAATTCTCTTTACTTTAAAAAAAAATCGGAGTCGTTGAAAATAACGAGATATCGAAGATTAGTATTGTTTCACTTAATAAACAAGAAAAAACTAACATAATTAAAAAATTTTGTATTTACGAGTGTTCTATAGCAAATAGGCAACCAGCAATACATTTTTATAGATTTTATTACACAGTTTGTCTAAATATGAATCAATGCACAAATAACAGACTTTCCTCCATTCTAACGTAGATTTTCTATAAAATGGAGTTAGTTTGAAACTGAAAATTACTTTTTGTTGTAAAGAAATTTGTAATTTGCCGCCTTTGAACAAGTAAATTTCAAATTTCTTTACACCAAAAAGCGATTTGAGTTTCAAACTAAGTCCTTTCTATAGAAAATCTGCGTTAGAATGGAGGAAAGTCTGTTATTTGTGCATTAATTCATATTTAGACAAACTGTGTAATAAAATCTATAAAAATGCATTTCTGGTTGCCTACAGAGTCCTTTCAAGGCTAATTTACTTCATTTATGACAAATACGTGCAAATAAAGCAATATTTAGCACCGAAACTACAAAATCCGCTTATATTTTCTTGTCGGCTGAGTTATTGGGTATTTCTGTATTGGAAAATCATTAAACATCGTTTATAACATTGAAAAGGAGAATACTAACTAAAATAAGAGGAGGGGGGGCCCGAGTTAAAGATGAACTATGCAAAATGAAAGAAAATTCGTAGACGGACGATTCCAGCGGACCAGAATAGGTCTCGACAGCGTGCCACAATTTGACGTGCTTATTACCGAACTTGAGAAGATATAACCCACTGGAATTGGTAATTTAATAAAACCACCCGATTTTCTTTCATTTCGCAAATTGTAAAGGTACTGCAATAAAAAATTACTATAAGTCCATGTTCATTTTCTTAAAAATTTTATTTCAATAGATCTAAATTCAGTCAAAATAACTATACAGTTAGAATTTAGCCAAAAATTATACATATTTTTCATAAAATTCTTATATATTAAGAGCAAATAGGCAACCAGCAATACATTTTTACAGATTTTATTACACAGTTTGTCTAAATGTGAATTAATGCACAAATAACAGACTTTCCACCATTCTAACGCAGGTTTTCTATAAAATGGACTTGGTTTGAAACTCAAATAATTTTTTGGTGTAAAGAAATTTGTAATTTATGATGCCAAAAGCGGCAAATTACAAATTTCTGTACAACAAAAAGTAATTCGAGTTTCAAACTAACTCCATTTTATAGAAAATCTGCATTAGAATGGAGCAAAGTCTGTTATATGTGCATTCATTCATATTTAAACAAACTGTGTAATAAAATCCATAAAAATATATTGCTGGTTGCCTATTTGCTATAGAGCTCGCATACTGAACGAAAAGTTTTTTTTTTGCTAGCCGAGTCCTTGCATGCCCGCCAAGTATTTTTTTTGCTTTTTCTGAGCTAATTTTTAATTTTAAAAAGGGTAGTTGCCAAAAATCGACAATTTTCTAAGGTCAAGTCGGCAAATGCCTTTATTGTAATTTTTAATTGCCGTTTTCTCCCAAATAAAAAATCTTCGAGTATGGCATTTATTTCGTATTGCGACAGGTAGGAATTATTAAAAATAAAGTTTTTTTTGCCTTAAGTAAGTAAAACTAAGATTATTTCTGTTTGTGCAATTTTTTGATGGTCATTTGAAAATCAAAATTAATATGTGTAGAACTTACGTTCTCTCAACCTGGAAAATCCGGAAATAACTGATTTTTTTCCAAGAACTTGGTACACATCCCGTATATGTTTATTATTTTTATAAATTTGTTGGAGGTATCTTTCAAAGAGAGGTAGTGAATTGGATTTTCGAAAGTACTATGAATAAATAAATTTTTTCAAATTTTAAATTGTTGGGATTTAATTTTTTGTAACGACTGTATATAAACTAGTTATCAGTTAATTCTTTTTGGGGTTGTAATTTTTTTTGCATATTATTTTTCTATTTTAATAAATATATTGGAAAAATAGAATCTTGAATATGATTGGTTACCGGGAATAAACAACACTTCTACTTAACACCACAATTATCTTAATTTATGTGTAATTTCTCTGTATTTTGTTGATTAAAGCACAAGAAATGTTTTATATTTAATATATCAATGAGGTGCAAATTGTGTGGTGATATTGTATCTGCATATGTAAATTAACTAGAATAAAGTAATTGTAATACAGTTAATTTTTTTTTCTCTTTCGAATTTATTTTCTTTCTTCACTAGCTGTGGTCGACCAACCTTGCCGAAAATAACCCACTTATCGAGACGTGATGAGCATGGAACAGAACCCAATCCCCTTAATTTTTTCGCTAAGTTTTTCATTTGGATGTGAAATTTAATTACTTCATTTTTGTTAAACATTTAACATTTACCACAGTGGTGGCTCTGCCAAAATAATTTAGAAGAAATTTTAGCCAGAGATATCTTTATTTTTGACAGCATAATTAACATTATATAAAAAAAAAATTAGAAATTACCCTACTTTTTTTTATGGAAAATGAAATAAAATATATTGAATCGTGCACACAATAACAAATAACGTAGTGTGTTTAGCCACCGCAGATACGTACGGAACCGCCTTAAGAAAAGCACACAATTTTCGTGCTGTTAGAGATGCATCATTCCACATCATCATTCCAACTCGAACTTTTCGTTCAATAAAGTGGAACGCTAACTTGTGTCGATTGACCAAACAAGCTGCATTTAATAGTTCCAAATTTTCATGCCGCCATCTGTCGCTAAAAAACCACTAAATTGCAGAAGAGTTCTTTAGCAGGTAGCTAACTGTAACAGCTTCACATTCGCTGCTGAATTAATTGAACATTTAATGTATAGATGGCGCTGCCTTCTTTCTCAATAAAACCGTGTTATGGGCCAGTCATATTATTAACCTGTGGGTCAGTTGCAGAAAAACTATTATAGTGTGGTCCATAGATAATAGAAGAGAGTGTGGTCAGCGACCCCCGTTGTGTGCGATACCGCTTTGAGACGAGCACTTTAATTTTTTAACTAATTTAATTTTTTTCATTTTCAAAAGTTTTAGAACTCGGAAAAATCTGAACAAATTACGGCGAACTATAAAACGACCCTGACCAATCCAAAACTGCATTCAGGTCTTCTCTATCTCATCCGGTTTTCGAAATTTTATTTGTTTTTCCTTAACAGAGGCATTTACACAAAAATCGACGATCCCAGCGTAATCATGCAGCGACCCCAGTTGCGTGCGATACCGCCTTGAAAGGATCCCTTTAATTTTTTGATAATTTTCATGGATCAATCGGTTTTCTCAAAAAGATTTAGGGTTCACAAAAATTTGAAAAATTCTGGTGAACTATAATGACCATGACCAAACCAAAACTGCACTCTGTTTCTCTCTAACTCCAGTTTTCCACGTTTTCCATTTTTTTTTTTTTCGACGGAAGCACTTGCACAGAAACCGACCGTCACAACGTGTTTAGTGATCCCACGGAACCGCCTTAAGAAATGCACTTTAATTTTTTTGAAAATTTTCCTGCTATTAGCGATACATCATTCCAATCAATTTTTCGTATGTACGATGAGGTGAAACGCTCACTTGTGTCGATTACCAATCAAGTTATACTAAACAGTTCCAAACTTTCATACCGCCATCTATCGCTCAAAAACTGCATTAAACTGCGGAAGAATTTTTTAACAGCCTGTAACAGCTTCATATTCGCTAGTGAGTTAATTAAACGTTTAGTGTATAGATGGCGCCACCTACATTCTCACAATAAATAGAACCATAGAATCGTATTCGATGCAAAGTAGAGCAAAAAGTTGTCGGTCTTTTATCAAAGGAAAATCGTGTCATCATTTTAGGAGGCGTAAGATAAATCATTTCAAATTTAAAATGAAATTCAATGTAAAATCTGAAATACCGCTGCATACGCACTGTGTTCTGGTAGTAGCTGTAGTCGCCCAGGTGCATCGAGTGTACGAACTGGTCGGTTATACGTAAAATACTAACCTGGCGAGCTTTGCCGTCAATTAGAGAGCGCTTCCAAAAAACAAGTAAACAACAGTGGCGCGTACAGAGGTAAAATGTAGTACATATGTGGAATTTAGGAAACAAATTGGATTTATAATAAATTACATTTAAAATAAATAGTTTATGAGAATAAAGGAATTTTTGTAGGAACAAGGGTGCCATACCTGAACTGATCCCGTCGTCCCTTCATAATGTATAAAGAAATTATTCAATTTGTAAAACCCTTAAAAACGTACTTCATTGGTTCCCTTGACAGGCAATGAATTATTACTTTGCATCGAATATGATCCTACTATATATTCTATTAAACTAAAAAAGATTTTTTTCTCTTAACGGGTCATCTCATCAGAAAAACTGATCATCCTAGACTGTTCGGCGACCCCAGTGCAATACCGCCTTAAGATGACCACTTTAATTTTTTAATAATTTTCATGGATTAATTAATTTGATAAACCATAAAGTTTCATTGTTTTATATCAAACGTTTTCAGAGATATTTTAAAAAATGTTTAGTCTTCCAAATCTCAACACCCTGTATCTCGAAAACGAAACATATCCGAACATTTCTTCATGGTACTTTTTTCTTATTTTGAACGTGTACAAATAGTGTTGTGTATTTAATCGAGATTAATGATGAAAACATACTTGCGACTTGCGTTAATTCTGTCGCAATTTATTCAACACGGCCTTGACAAGGTGTTGCGACATTAACAATAAACATTTTTATATTTATCATGGATACGATCGAGATTTATGAATATAAATTTGTTTATCACAAAAACTTTATTAATTTTTGATATAGTAGTTAATTTGATAAAAGTGAAGATTCGCTTATTTTTCTTTCACCTTTACCTATGAATTCTAATTAGTTGTAATTTTAATGTGACTAAGCAATATTAAATTTCATTGTATAAGTAAACAGGACGCTGTTTGTATGATGAAATTATTGTAATACGATAAAACTCTAACCTTATCAATATTACAAAAGTTGAAATATGACAAACAAAATAGAGTTTTTATAAAGTTAGTAATAAAGTTAACTAAAATACAAGATGTATCTTTGTACGTTCGTGCTGCATCCATTAAAATGGTAAGTTAGAAAATGCTAGATACCTATATCATAAATTTGATTTTTAATTACGTATTTTACTACTGATAAAATTCATTGACCCAGTATTTGTTCTAGCGTAAATCGAAGTTTTACGTATACGAACCTAAGAAGATGGAAATCCACATGGAAAACGAAAAACATTAATAAATTACTGGTTGCCAACCGAGGTGAAATAGCTTGTCGTGTAATGCGCACCGCTAAACGATTAGGAATTCGCACAGTTGCAGTGTACAGTGAAGTCGACAAGAATGCGCTTCATGTGTCTATGGTAAGGTGTAGATAAGAACATAAAATGCTATACTGTTTGCTAATAAAACGTGACACCCACATATTTCATTAGATGAAATTTCCGCTACCACAGGTTCTAAAATTAAACAAAAAATGGTTGTGCGCAGGCAGTTTCTGATTCTGCGCGTTTCTGATCCATCCATACTGAAAAGAAATAGATTCTTTTTTGTTCTGTGGATGTATGAGTTCGGCGGGATATTTAAATTCCTTTTCTCTTTGCTTTACTTCGAATAAAACTGAAAACAACTTCACTAATACTGATAATAGCAGTAATTGAATATATTTACAGTGGACTTTTTAAAGTAGTATACATGGGGCCGTGTACTAAATTTTTTTATAAGCAACTGTCGCCGTCGTTCCATGAACGTGCTAATTTTTATTGCACTGTGCTGTATATATAAATAATACGGAGAATATTTTATATACTTGAAGGAACTTCTATTACTTAAGGTCTGTTCCAACAAGAGTCAGGGATTGGTTCCGAACCGTCAGAAATGTGCATCCAACTAATTCTTGCGATATATTCACTGAAGACACATTTAAAACTTAGCTGGCCAAATATTTCAAACGGTTGGGAACCAATCCCTGACTCTTGTTGGAACAGACCTTTAGTCAAATAATTAATAATAGTTCAGATATGGCGCCAAATTTAAAGAGATATAATTTAATAATAATTATTATTTACTAACTTCTTCAGATTATTAGTTTTTAGGCAGATGAGGCATATTTTATTGGGCCAGCTGCAGCTTCAGAAAGTTACTTAAGGGGGAATAAGTTACTGCAAGTAGCCAAAAACTCGAAATGCGAAGCGATTCATCCTGGCTATGGATTTTTGTCTGAAAATGCCGAATTCGCTGATAATTGCCAAGAGGAAAAGGTAATTTTCATTGGACCACCGGCATCAGCCATCAGAGATATGGGTATCAAAAGGTAGTACATTGAGTAATTTTTTATATACCTAGTTAATTTAATATATTGCAGTACATATGCACATTTCATCGATACACTTTAATCTGCTCTTAATTATTTTTCAAGTACATCAAAGCAAATAATGTCAACTGCAGGAGTACCAGTCGTAGAAGGTTACCATGGACAAGACCAAAGCAACGGTACTCTGAAAAACGAGGCCAGACGGATAGGTTTCCCGGTAATGATCAAAGCAGTACGAGGAGGAGGGGGCAAAGGTAAAAATATGGACATTATAATTAAACTAACGCACTTCAAAATTAAATTACGGTGAGCGGAAAAACAGCTGCTGCAAAAGTGTTGTATTAGATCATACGAAAATTAAAATAACTAAACTTTCTAATAGGACAACAATACTCCGTTTTTTCTGATTGATGCCATGTTCATCGAGAATCAAATGCGCTTTAGCAACGTACGTCGGTACAGTCCGACAAAAAGTTGTTTGAACTATGAATGAATTAACTATGAAGTCGTAAAATTCGTAGAAATCGTAGATTTATTCTCAGTTTCCAAGCAAAAAACGTGGAGGGCTTAGGATATAACCTATAAAATTATCTACTGATTTGTTCAATATTGTTTAATAAAACTCTGCAGGCATGAGGATTGCCTATTCGGAAGCAGAATTTGAAGAAAACCTAGAATCAGCCAGGACAGAATCCCAAAAATCATTTGGAGACTCTGAAGTATTATTAGAGAAGTTCATAGCCCAGCCACGCCACGTCGAGGTGCAGGTCTTTGCAGACACGCACGGGAACGCCGTTCATCTGTACGAAAGAGACTGCTCTGTCCAAAGGAGGCACCAAAAGATTATCGAAGAAGCTCCCGCGGTATTTTTTTTTATGAGACAATCCTTCAAGTTTTACATTTCCCCAATTTTTCAGCCAGGTCTCTCCACGGAACTGCGGCGTGAGTTGGGGGAGGCAGCAGTTCGAGCCGCCAAAGCAGTGGGGTACGTTGGGGCGGGGACCGTTGAATTCATCTTGGATAAGAACGACCACAGTTTTAATTTCATGGAAATGAATACCAGGCTGCAAGTGGAACACCCCATTACTGAGATGGTCACAGGTAAACCTTAACAATTAGAGAAAAACAACAAATTATTATTGCATATACCGGGTGTCCAACAAAATTTGATCACAAATTCTTGACACAAATTTTAGGGAACCGGTATTTTTTATAGTGCTTCGCTATTTGACGGGGAATCCCCTTAAGACGCTTTCTCGTGAGCCCTCTTGTCTTTGGAGCCAAATAAATTTGGTCACATATTTGAATTTCTTAAAACTTATTAGTTCGCTAGAAAGCTATTGAATTTAGAAACATTTTTGTCTCTTGATATTTTTTTCGTGAAACGCAATGTTTTCGAGAAAAATAGCAAAATGTGGTCGAATACATCTCCAGCTACCTACGATTAACACGTTAAATTTCATACGGACCACGATGTGCATTAGTAAATGCACATTGATAAATTACCAATTTACCACTTCCGAATTTACTAATTACCAATTTACTAATTACCAATTTGTCAATTACCAATTTACCAATTACCAATTACCAATTTATAAATTACCAATTTACCAATTACCAATTTACCAATTACCAATTTACCAATTACCAATTTATAAATTACCAATTTACCAATTACCAATTTACCAATTACCAATTTACCAACTACCAATTTACTATAATTACCAATTTACTATTTTACTATTATCATTTACTATTTACCAATTACCAATTTATTAATTACCAAATTACCAATAACCAATTTACCAATTACGAATTTACCAATTACCAATTTATCAATTACCAATTTACCAATTACCAGTTTACCAATTACCAATTTACTAATTTATTATTATCATTTACTATTTACCAATTTACCAATTTGAAATAAGAGTAATTTCTTCTTATAAATCGTGGAAACTTCTCGAATTTTCAAGTAGACTTCTGAAAAAACTACCGACCATCAAATTTGCAGATTTAACATGGATTAAAATAAAATTCAACTATTTACTTTACCTTCCCTTTAACTCTTTCATAACGCATTTTAGAGAAATATGAACATTTTGTCTTATTTTGACAGGTATTTGTTTGTTACGTGATTTTATTTTCTGCTCTAATCTTTCAATAGAACAATTATGACGAATTTTAGGAACCGATTTGGTGGAATGGCAAATCAAAATAGCTTCCGGCGAAAAGCTACCTCTTTCTCAAGAAGATATTCCTTTGACTGGACACGCTTTCGAGGCGCGTGTCTATGCAGAAGACCCTTTGAGAGGATTTTTACCCGGTGCAGGTCCCCTTTTGCATTTGTCTCCACCCCTTTCCTCTGTAGACGTCAGAATCGAGACAGGTACATTTATTTCTCACAGCATATTGTAAAATTTGTAAAAAGGGTGTTTTACAATACTTTTTAGAAGTATTTATTCTTCGTCAGTCAGTCTCACGTATATTTTCCGTAAATATATTAACTTCATTGTACTTATTTACGATTTATGGTTTTATAAGTTGACATAATAATTGAAAATGCAATCAATACCCATATCATTTTGAAAGTCAATGAAACTTGATCGCGTTGTCCACCACCATGGTTTGATATTTGTATTGTTTGTAGGAGTTCGAGAGGGTGACGAAGTCTCTGTCCACTACGATCCAATGATTGCCAAGTTAGTGGTTTGGGGAAGAAATAGGTTGGAAGCCCTTTCGAAGCTGCAGGCGAATTTAATCGAATATAATGTAAATAATTAATCTTTTTTATTTCATTGTCGAAACCAAGAGAGTTGCACGAACAAAATTTGGACAGGATATAGCTAATACAATGCGAAACATCGCCTTAATGTTAAAAATGCTGTCACCGCCGTTCTTGGTAGTGAAAATTCGAAATATTTGAAATTTTCGTGGTTGTCTTGCTTTACTAATCCACGATATCCATGAACTCCGAGTTGCTCTACACGTAAGCCATTCTTAACACTTGAAAAACTAATGTAAACACTATCACAAAAACGTTAATAATGAAATCGGATTGCAGTATTCGGAATCATCGCCCGAGGCCACGTGGAGAGAGAGAGCGCGTTATGTACAACGAATAACGCGCGGAGATTGCAGTAGCCCAGCGATGTAAGGATTGTAAATACTACAACTTTAACAATTTTTTTCTCGGAAACTAGAAGAATTTCACAAAAACGTTTTTTTATTGACTCCATTTTTCATGACATATCCCCAAATTTTTTTGGATATGTTGTGAATCACTCTGTATAGTCAACAATTTGTAAAGCTAATGCTGTCATAAATTCCCCACTAGAAGTTAATACTTCTTCACTGATTTTCACAGTAAAAACCTAACTAGGTACAGTACATTTCAAATTTATTTAAAAGACGTTTCTCACTACCTAGTTTTTAAGCACTTCTGTAATCTTCAGAGCACTCAAAAATCAACCGGATAATTGAACATTGAATTTATAAGTTAGAAGTGTGTAAACGAATATAAATAATAAAGGAAAGAGGTGGCCAATATTAATTTTATAAAGGCATTTGTTTATTTAATATTGCTTTTGCTATTTCATAAAAATAGAGTTTTCAAGTTTATACCGGATGTCCCATTTTAAAAAATACACGTGAATATCTCTTAAGTTAAGGGCTTAATGAAAAAAAAATGTCAAATAAAAGTTGTAGGGTTTTGAGGGGGACATATAATGGTGACCTTGACCATGACCTTCAAGGTCATTTCAATGTCAAGTTGATTTTTTCAAATGGAAACATATATTTTGACACCAGAAATGAAAAGAGCAGAAAGTTTTACATACGACTATGACATTGACCATGACATTCAAGAGCATTGACGGTCATTTTAGTTTTTGTTGCAAAATTCTACTTTTGAGACCAGAAAAGAGAAAAGCGGGCCATTTCACGTCCATCTATGACATTGACCTTGACCTTCACGGTCATTTCAAGATCAAGTTAATTTTTCAAATAGAAACCGGTACATATCAGACCAAAATAGAAAGTGCGGAGAATTTTGCTTACGGATATAACCTTGATCATGACCTTAAGTTTCAAAAGTCATTTGAAGGTCATTGTAGTATTTTGCTGGCAAAACTTTAATCTTGTTCATATTTTTCTTTTTGATATGTGGGGCTCGCCATAATTTTCGAGAATACCCATTAACCTTTTGCGGCATGCATTTTTTATTCAAATGTTTTTGAACTCTCAGCTCAGAATTTAGTAATAGTTAAATCCGATATGGCGGATCCAATATGTCGAATACTCGGCTCGACCTTGAGTTTTAACGTAGGTTGAAGCATTTTCAAAATGTTAATCCATATGAATATTAAAAATGTTTACCAAAAATTGGTCGGCCATCTTGGATTTGAATATTTTCAAATTCTGACTTCATATTCGCGATCAGCGCCCTCGAAAACCTCTGAGTACACTATTCGGCAAGACGGAAATGAATTTTGCTACAAAAAAACTAAAATGACCTTGAAATGACCTTCAAATGCCCTTGAAGGTCATAGTCCGGGTCATAGTCGGATGTAAAATTTTCTGCTCTTTTCATTTCTGGTGTCAAAAATATGTTTGCATTAGAAAAAATCAACTTGACCTTGAAATGATCTTGAAGGTCATGGTCAAGGTTACCATTAGATGTCCCCCTCAAAACCCTACAACTTTTATTTGAAAAATTTTTTTATTAAGCCGTTAACTTAAGAGATATTCACGTGCATTTTTTAAAATGGGACACCCGGTATAACACCGGCAATACTGCCAAAATAAACAAATTATGTTACGCGTAAATGCCATAATGAAGTCAGCGGCTCTCAACAAGTCTTCCATCAGAAGATTATGTACATTTATTTTAAACTTGACCACTTCCTTCCACATTTTTTTCTCAAAAGAAAAAACCGTTAATTAGATATTAAGCTGATTGAAACAAAATAAAAATTAAATAAAAAATCTTATTAAATGACGTCAGACAACGTTCTTCGATATCAGAAATTTAGGTGTGCAAAACATATTTAAACCAACAGACTTCACTTGATAAGAAAACATTTTAGAAAACATTTTTCGAATTTGAATATGTTTTTTAAAAACAATCTCTCGACATTTTCCAAAAAAAAAAATTGCCTAACTTTTTTTTGAATACTGTTTTGCGTGCGAACTTTATTAATATCTATTTTCAGATTGCAGGTTTGGAAACCAACATAAATTTCTTGTTAAATCTCGCGCGACATCCAGAATTTTCTGCCGGCAACGTCCACACGAATTTCATCAAAGACCACGATGCTTCGTTGCTTTCCGAAGTTAAACCGCGAGAAACCCAGTTGCTACAAGCATCCTTGGCGATTATCCTTAAGGATAAAATCGAAGAAACGGCTCAGGCAGCGTCGAGAAACGACCAGTACAACCCTTTCGTCGTGGAATCCAATTTCAGGGTAAATCAGAAGCACAGGAGAAATATTAGACTGAAATTTGAAGATGAAGGTAATAAACGCATAGGGTGAATCGTAAGTGTGTACATATATTTGAAAAAGCGATAGGTACAATTAATGGAACATGAAATAAATAGTTATTTTGCAAAAAGGATGAAGAATAAAAGAGAGAAATTTAAAATAAGTGCGCTTGATTTTTTAGTAGAAAACTTGTTGAAAACCAACGCTTGACTTCGTTGTGGTATTTACGCTTAACATTAATTGTGTACCCTGAACGGAAGAGCTTTGCAGTGTTGCCAGAGTTATACAGAATTCTTAAAATCCAACTTTTTCTATGAAATCGAAGAGAAAAGTTTTTTAGATTGTATGTTAAAGAAATTTTGAAATCTTCATAAAAATATTTATGTCTTCTTCCTCCTCTATTCATTTTCTGAGGCAATGATTTTTTGCAATACTATTTGCCACGTTATTTATCCCAAACTTCTTGACTTAAAGTTCAATAATAGACCGACAAATTTTTAAATCAGAACCCAGTCTATATTTTCCGGAAGTTTTTGAACGCGCTGAATTCGAATGCAACTTCAGAATTGTTCCTTTACGTCAAGTTTTGGAGATATCCTAACTTAAAAGTTCGAAAAACACGATTTTTCTCTGTATTTGAGGTTATATTATATCACGAAGTAATTTTCCCCTCAAAACTCAATGGAATCTGAAAGTACTTCCTACCTACCTCTCCTATCGAAATTGATTAGTTTCACGGATTGGTCGACATTCGGAAACTGAGAAGCATCAGTTGAAGAGGGAGAAGAATTAATTACAAGTACCTAACATATTAAATCATTACAAATCTGCTGTCAAAATTACAAAATTCAAAATGGCGGATCCAATATGGTGGATGGAATAAAATAATGGCATTTCGAATTTTGTAATCCTGACTTCAGAATCGTAATCAGCGACCCCGAAAACCTGAATAAGTGGGAATTTAAGTGTCTGTATTTTGATTCATCTCTCTTTAGAAGTATGAATGGTTGAAAATGGATTTTGAAGAAGTAGTAACGAGTTTTGTGGAGAAGAATTGCTTCACGGTGTAACATAACCTCAAACAAAGTGTCTTTCGCACATTTACGATACGATATGAACAATTCTGAGATCGGATTCGGATTCAGAGCCTTTTGAAACCCTTCTGGAAAGACTGGTTTCTGGTTTAGAAGGTCAGTCACATTTTGTCAGCCTGTTCATATGATTTTCAAGACTAGCGTTGTGGTTTGCGTTAATCAAGTTAGTATCTTGAATATTACCTGTACTAAGGAGAATTGTTTTTATGCAAAAAAATTATGTGGTCTCAACATATTTATTTTAGGATTATAAATGGTGACCAAAAATGGAACCTCGTTACTGAATTTTAAGGGGAGTTTTTCCTATAAAGTTTTTATCTAGCATACTTCGTTAAAAATATACAGGGTGTTAAACTTCAAAAAATATTTTTTTTTAAATAATTAAAAAACTATTGAGTGAAACAATTTGAAATTAGGCACATATGTAAACATTGTCCAAAATCTGAGGGTTTTTCCTAAAATTTGCATGCTCCAGTGGCGAAGATACAGGGTATCGGTGACATATTTTTTCTAAATAAGATAGTACGCCACTGCTTTACGGTAACAACAATGATATTTTCGGATTCGTCCTTCAATTTTCTACAAATTACTACCCTCTTATGTTTTTCGAAAAAAGACTGATTTTCGAGTAAATTTACAATTTACAATATATTGTTGCGCATGCATAAACGATTGAGTGGTTCTCAATAGGTACATTAAAAAAATCAGTATCTCGGTAAAAATTAATAATTAAAAAAATTAGTTCCACTCAATATATATCATAAGCCATACCCGCAATTAAAATACTTGTACACATTTAAAATTTACACTTATACGTAAAGTGATAATAATTTTGTACTTTGTTGTTTGCAGAATTTTTAGTGAACGTAAAATATATAAAACAAGACGAATATAGCATGTCGACTGATGGTAAATCATGGAAAACTGTTCAGGGCGAGATATTGAACAAAGGGAAAACGTTAGTTCTAAATTGCGCGATAGATGGCGCTAAAACTAGGGTTAATTTTTATTCGAACGATGACTTTCTAGCTATTTTTGATCAAGTAAGTATTTATTTAACAATTGCGTTTATGGTAAATTTACGTTTTGCGAATAAATTTCACTTGACAAGATTTCCGGTGCGGTCCTGATCCATGTTAATTAAATCTGAAATATTGTTGTACAGGGTGTTACAAAAAAATCAGGAGGTGACAAAACATGAAAAAATAAAACGATTTTGTTTTTGATATACATGAAGTCAAATTAAAAAAAAAACACTATAATGCATTAAAATTTGGTACAGGTACGTGGTTAATACGTAAATGTTGTTAATTTTTGTGATAGAGGGCGCTAGCTACTGTCTTTCTCAGTTGACATTTTAAAGCATAACTTTTTTGAGGTTAGGTTTAAAATGTCTTTACATAAAAAAGTATGCTTGCCAACTCCATATGTTAGAGAAATAGAAGTTTTAGGCCAATCAATTGCGTTTTTTTTTTTTTAAAAATAGGTGCGTTAGGGGCGATTTTAACAGGAGTACTTTTTACACATACATACACTGTAGACTGTAGAAAACCTAACCCCAAAAGAGTAATGTCTTAAAATGTCACTGAGAAAGATAGTTCGACAACAAAAACTAACAACACTGGCGTATTTTTCACCCCCGAAAACTTACTTATTCACACACGAACTTCAACGGAACACATTGCATTTTGGAAAGGCTATGGTTAAAATTTGATGTTAAAGAATTATTTTTGACGCCCTATATCTTAAAAACAAAGGACGATAGACTCGTGATCCGTAGGAAAAAATCTATCATCTATTTTTTATGTTCTATCAACCTCTAATGTTTTGCACTTATTTCCGCAACACCCTGTATGTAGGGCGGTTCGTAAAAGATAATAATTTGGTTCATTTTAAAGAAGTTACTGTGTACATAGATTGTAAATGGCTTGGCCTGCGAACTACAGGGTGTTAAATTTTTTATAAAGATAACTCGTCTACATAATGGTGGCCCATGACCTTTTTCAAGCGAACATTTTTCAGGCGGGGCAAAGATGTTAATTTGATATGCGACACATGTGACATTAATGTTAGTTCCTTTTTATAAAGGGTGTACGAAGTTTGACTGCCATTACTTCAGCATGAGATAGAGTAATCATAAATGAACAAAAAAAGTTGTATATTACAGGGGTGTAAGATTAACAGTTTTCAAAATACAACGAGTATTAATATTGGGGAGTTTCATCACAACGTGACAACAGCGCTTAACCTAACGTTACACAGCTGATGTATACCACGTGTGCACGCGGCACACTTGTCCTACGGAATAACAAAAATGTAAACAGCTATTATTGTGAAACATTTAGTAAATTTCGAGACAATTGTTTTCCAGTTTTTAAATAAATAAAATAAAATGTATCGATTTTGTAGTGCGAAGATAGTGTTGTGCTTAAATTTAAGCTCGAAAACGGGAACTTAACTTTTTAAAATATGTAATTAAAATACACAAAGATTCACGTCGTCCAAATAATCATACGCATTAAAAATAATTTAGGTACTTACCAAAAAGCAAAATTCAGTAATTTTTAAATGCACAAATACAAAACAAACTACAACATATACTCAAAATATCTACCACCATTTTCGATGCACGCGCGACACATTCGAATCCAATTTTCGCGCACTCACTGGAAAACACCTCAATAAAAGGAAATAGTGGTACGCAAAAAACACTCCGACATGGTCCAATTCCAGACACCAATACCAACTGAATTGCGTATTGCTGGACAGCTTAGTACCTCGTGTTAACTGCCGCGCCCTTGTCACATTGCTCGATATGAATTTAATCGAATTTTAAATTTATTACAACGCTAATTATTTTTTAGACTTAAGCATAAAGAAGTTAAAAAAGTGATAAACATTGTATTTTATGGTATTCTATGCACGCAGTTATGTCAATATTCCTTAATTAATCGAACTTTTGTACATCAAGTTGATTATTTTTTTTTCTCGGAAATGGTTGAGTTTAGGACCCATGTCATATATAGTTTTTTTTTGTTTATTTTAATGCATTCTACCGTCTGTTAAATTAAGGCAGTCAAACTTCTAACACCGTGTATATAAATCATGCTGCCAACATTAAATTCAACAACAGTACCTATGTAGAGATTTATGCATAAGTCATTTCTTCTTATATTTTTATACCTCTTTAAGTTTGAGAACTTATAATGTATGTATGCCTTTATTTATATTTGTCCTGGAATTCGATTTATAATCTGTTGGGCAATAAACATGTTACTATTATTAGATATATGTAGATAGTGCAGCATAGATATGAAACCAATGATATTAGGTAGTATAAAAATAGATGAACTCACCTTATCAATTTATTTTCTTAACCTATAATGATTGGTGCATTTTGAGGTGTTCACTAATAATTGTAAATGTCCTGTTAAGTTTTGACAAAAATTCCGCGAAAAATATCACTGAGTTTTCGGATAGAACAAGTTCAAAAGCTCGACAAAACTTAATTCGATCAACGATCTTGCGCTTAATTATAAATATTTTTCACTTCGTTCCCTGACTGGCAAAGACGGGCCTGGCGTCGGTAGGTGCTATGAAAGCAAGCCCTCCGTCGTCACTCAACACATACATTTTTTTTCAACTGATTATATCACTAGAAACAACTACTCTGCTTGCTGATATTCCCAACTATTCCCGTAATATCTAGTGAATTATTAGTATTTTTGTCAGTAGAACCACCAGTCATATACCTATTAGTTTTCATTAGTATGCGATATTGAAACAACCGACGAATAATAATAAATACAGACGAGGAAAGATAATGGGAGTGACAGTGGCGGCTCGTGATATTGTGAATAGGTGAGATCCGTGGCTTTTTTACTAGGTGGGCAAGAAAGAAAAAAAAGCGCCGCAGGAAAAAATTTTTTAATTTTCAAGGTCAAACGAGTAAATGCATCTGGAAATTTTTAGTTGCATTTACAATATTATAGAAAAACTGATGTTGACGAGCAGGATTTTCATTCAGATTTTATAAAAAATAATACTCAACTATTTGGATATTTTATTAATCCGCTCTCAAATAATAAGTAGGAATAAATTTCCACATCATTTTTAACCGTAAATTAAAAAATTATATTATTAATAATAATATCCAAACTTTAAAAATTGTATTTACTATAAAATTAAGTAACAGAAAAAAAAACAAAGTAATATATTTACCTAACAATTAATAGAATTGTTCCTACTTGGTTTATGAATATTAAAAAATATGAAAAAATTTAAAAACTAATTTTCATAAGGTAACTTATCTATTTACATATAAAACAACGCTGCCAGCTTTTCGTTTGCCTCCACTTTTAACAAAATATTTTAAAAACGTAGTGAATGTTTTTATAAAACAGGTTTATTCGTCCGTCTTTTAAATTTGCAAATTTACAGATAATGTCTTCATAAAATTGAGGATTAACACTAAGACTTTGTAATAGTTCTTTTTCTATCGTCACCACTGATAAGTTGTTTAAGCGCTCTTGTTTCATCGTATTTCTGAGTCTTACAATTAATGTGCTTAAGACACAAAAAGCTTTTTTCTACCGAGACATTTGTTGCAGGAATTGTTAAAACTGGGCAAACAATTTGTATGTTTCTGAAAATACCATTTAAAATTCCTTGAATTATATTTCTATCGTTTTTTGAACTTCTAAATTATGAAATTGTTCATCTCTGTACAAAATACGAAGCTCGTTTTTCAACCTATCTATTTCAAATAATGTTTGGATACATTTATAATAAACATTCAAATGATTTTTCGGGAAATTTGTTTGCATATTTGGGAAATTTTAAGGAATCTATTAAAATAAAAAAATTAAATCATGTAAATTCCCAAATTGTGTAGGTACTTAGTTAAGGGGCAATATATTTGGAAAATAATAATATTTTCGCATAATTAAAAATATTTTTAAATTTTAAATCTTCGTTTCTTAATTTAGAAATTTTTTGACTAGTAATTTTAATTGTTTAGAGCAGTAATTTACGTTATTACGTCTTGAAAAAGGCGTTTCAAAAGATAAAACAATATCAATTGTGAAATAGTTTCATTCATAGCTAGAGGTGTTTCAAAATCTTTGAAGCTTTGACCTTCATATGCGCAGAAACATAATTCCGACCGTCATCGCCTAAATTATTCTACGTCCTAAAAACATTACATCTATTATTCACAGTCTCTCTCGAGCTCTCGTAGCGTAAACAAGCCTTTGATCCGATTACAAATATCATAATAAAATGCCGCCCTATTCTTTATTATTTTAATTTAAACAATAAAAATATATATAACGAACGTTCGCCATTTGACTTTATTGATGCCCGAGCGCCTTAGTTCATTTCTACTTGTAATGATGCACATGGTCTAGTTCTGAGTCAATGTTTTCACAACGTGCTTATTAGAAGAATTATGCGGATACGCCACGCCTTAAGCGCATTTCGCGACTCATGAGATATTGAAACACCTCTACCTATGTAGGTATTTGATAATATAATATAAGTATCTATTCAATTATGTTAAATTTAGACTTACTATGTTTTGTTGTAAGGAAGTTGTTTTTTATTTACTTTAGTTTAATACCTGTCTTGTCCTTATCCTTAAAGCCTTTATACTATCCTTCACACTGACATCAGACACTGCCCGCGTACTATGCGACGCGTGCATTAACCGCGAGCGCGAATTGAAGCACTAAAACTATAAGCAGCTTTGAGCCGGCCTCAGTTCCCTCCTAAATCACGTTATTGTAACCGCCTCGCGTGGAGGGGGAACTGTAGCATGTTTGTAGGCAATTGTGACGCGCTTACAAGCAAGGAATTTCTGGGCTCACTGTGGTGGGGACTATTATTTTATACTGTTATTCTGATTTTAGATAAATGTAATAGGTAATTGGAAATTAGTTTACCCAACAGCTTCATCTATGAATATAGTTTATTTAATTTACGACAACTTGTTTGTTATACCCACTCCATGTCTGTACCTAAGACGCCAAAAATAGCTGGCTTATTTGTCGGTTGTTTAACCTATGAGACCTAACAAGTTCCAAACCGGTATATGTCTGGCGGTTCTGTTGACGAATGATCCTAGGCGAGTATATTTCAATGCTGGTCGGGGCGCTAGTCCGCAGAGCAGTTGTTTGCCGCGGTATCGTCAGTTAATGAAATAATATGAGTAAATTATTTAAATTTTAGGACGGTAAAGTTCAATTTTCCCTTCACCAGCCAAGTTTCGAGGAATCAGGGGAGACATCCCCGCAGCTGACTAAACGCGCAATTGCCCCGATGCCGGGAGTTCTGGACAAACTGCTGGTGAAACCTGGCGACGTGGTCAAGAAAGGGGACCCTCTATTTATTCTGATAGCGATGAAAATGGAGTACGTGGTTAAAGCCACTAAAGAGGCAAAGGTCGATAACATTTTTTTCCAAACTGGAGATAGTGTACCTAAGGACGCGACCATTGTACAATTCATGGAATAGATAAAGCGATAAAATGCTGATAATTTTGTAATTACGAGCTGAATAAAATGTATTCGTGATACGAGTTTTCTATTGAAAGAAATCTATGTGTTTCTACTATCGATTGTAATCGTAATGTTATATAAACTGTTTTGTTTATTTATTGTTTTAATAACAAATCAAATCATGATAACTAAAAGAATTTTAGTGACACTTGGATCTAGGTCAATAAATGTCATATAATAGTGGTGAGATGGGATTTCGTATTTGCAGGAGAGCTCAAAACAAGTAAGTACTTATTAATTATAACAGGGAAATCCACATATTAATATTTAATAACTTCTACGAACGTGTACTGTACTGAATTGAAAATTTTATTTACCCGCATAATGAGGATAAAAGTTAATCGTAACCACATCTCGATAGATTTTTTTTTGTTTTATTTGAATATATTTATGAAGTAATTTTGTTTGTTACTTTTTCACCAGTGGAAAAATTTACTTATAATGTTACACAGGGTGATTCACTTAAGTATGTACAGAATCTCGGAAATGGTGAGAGGTACCAAGTTGGTTATTTTACACCGACAACTTTTTCATAGCCACAGCAATTTTTTTGGCTACCCCAAATAAAACATTTGCAAAATCGGCGCCTGTTAAGGATTTATATGAGAGCTTATTTTACTTCTCTTGGTTATTTGTCATAGTAGAAATACTACAACAAGAACTTCTTTTCCTCTCGCGGAAAAGATGGCTTTTTTACAGAAAATACAGGGTGATTCACAAATGGTGACCAAAAAAGGAACCTCGTATTCTCGTATATAAAGTTTTTATCTAGGGCGCTTCGTTAAAAAGATACAGGGTGTTAAACTTCAAAAAATATTTTTAATATTTTGAAATAATTTAAAAATTTGTAAGTGAAATAATTTGAATTGGGCACATGTATTTATGTAAACATTGCACAAAATCTGAGGGCTTTTATTAAAATTTACATGTTCCAGTGGCGGAGATACAGGGTATCGGGGGAATATTTTTCTAAGTAACAACCATGATATTTTCAGATTCGTCTTGCTGTTGACTGTTGGATGGCTGTTACCGTAAAGCAGTGGCTTACTATTTTATTTAAAAAATATGCCACCGATACCCTGTATCTCCGCCACTGGAGCATGTAAATTTTAGGAAAACTCTCAGATTTTGGACAATGTTTACATAAATACATGTGCCCAATTTGAAATTATTTCACGTACTAGTTTTTAAATTATTTAAAAAAATTAAAAATATTTTTTGAAGTTACTTGTTACCACCCTGTATATTTTTAACGAAGCGTCCTAGATGAAAAATTTTTAGGAAAGATTCCCCTTAAAATTTACCAAAGAATACGAGGTCACTATTTGTGAATCACCCTGTATATTCAAAAAAATGTACCTGTCACTGATTGCAAGGAGTGTTCAGTCATATTTATTTATTTTTGCAAAATATTACTGTAGTAGGATAATACAGGGTGATTCACTATATTTTGACACCCCTTTAACTTTTTTGTTTTAAGAGTTATAAAAAAATGTGAACGTCCAACAATTACAAAATATCTTATTTTCTTAATAAAAAACCTTCTTTTCGTTTTTTAATATTATCTCGCTTATTGTTAGAGACGGACCCAACAAACTATATATGACTGTGCTCGGCAGGAAACGTTCTATCCAAATATGTAAAAATATACAGGGTGTTCCATTTAAATTAATAAAGTTAACATCCGCGGCCATTTTGTTTGAACTTCATTTGATTTTCTACTATCACTTTCGAAAACTTCATAAAAAATCGTGCAACTTTTGTATTTCACATTTTTTTATAACTCTTAAAACAAAAAAGTTAAAGCGGGAGTGTCAAAATATAGTGAATCACCCTGTACTTCTGTTACGTAAAAAAAATTCCTTGCCAGTAAAAACTGCTAGAGAAAACAGCAATAGTTCGTTTCGTTGGTGCAAAGTAAGCTTTTCTATTACTGAACCCTTTTTTGGAAATTTATACAGGATGCTTCTGATAATTCCGTTGCTTCAATAAAGAGGTAGTACAGGACGTGAAAATAAAAATTAAAATAAGCAACCTATTCTCTAAAGTGTCATGTGTTCCAGAAAATTAAGAATTATTGCGCGAAACTTAGACCGACCCTGTAATGCCCTACGCAATGAACTGATCTGCTGTTTACAATGCAGTAACTGGTTCAGTATGGTTATTTGTTGGGCACCGATGTGCCTTGCTTGCTCTTGTAGGTCGATTTACGTTGTTTTATTTCAAAATGCCTTAATTAAATCAAGAATTAGCGGATAGGGTATTAATATGTATATGGGGAGTATGAATATGATTTGCCGTTTATATACGAATTGTTAAACCTCTATTACCCGTTTGAAAGATCGCCCTTATTTGTAACACCCTGTATAATCAACATCCTTCTGCGGACACTCCTGCTAATTTTTTATTTGAGTTTTCAAAAATTCACGATGATAAATTATACTATGGGTTTCAGAATTATTAAATAGTAAAAATACAGGGTGTAACTAAATAAGTGTAAAACATTTAAGGGCGTGATTCCTCATCGAAAAAAAGATAGGATCTCTCATATAAAGAAACTTCATTGGAGCATCCCTTGTTAAGATACAGCCCCTTAAAGGGGGTACATAAAATTTGTTTAACAATTTTTTTCACAAGCATTAAACAAGTTACAATATTGAAATTAACCTGACATTTTCTACTACCTAAAAGACACTTAGCGCCAGTAATTTATTTGGTTTACCCCATGGTTGCAAGGGGTGGAAAACGCAACCCCTAAAATTTATTTCCAACGTAACTTTTTGTCTTATTATTTGTTTACCATTTAAAAATTTATTTCCGATAGCCTGTTTCATTCTAAAAAAAAAATGTCACTTAAATTTTTCGCCCAAAATAAACCAGTTCGCAGCAAAAAATTATTTTACGAACAACTACGAGATACATCGTCATAAATGCGGACTGGATTTACTGTTATTTTGTAGTTACTACCTGCATTAAATGATTAAAGGGGAATAATCAAAACTAATTTATTAATAACAAAACATACAACATGTAGAAATCATAGTAAATGTTCAATATGTCTACCTTCAGACATTACGCATGCGTCTAGACGTCGGCGCATTGAGCCACGTATTCGCTCAAATATTCCTGGAGTCTCTCTAATTACCCTGCACGCATCGATAATGCGGTTTCTTAAGTCCTCTACATCGCGAACAGGAGTACGATAAACCAAATGCTGCAAATGGCCCCAAGTAGAGAAATCGAGAGGATTGAGATCCGGGGATCGAGCGGGCCAATTCTGTGGTCCTCCTCGACCTATCCACTGATTTGCATATGTTTCAGTTAAATGCTGACGTGCTACTTGACTAAAATGGGCGGGAGCCCCATCATGCATAAAAACCATATCCCTTCTGACGCCCAAAGGAACTTCCTCCAACAGTACGGGATGCACTTGTTGCTGTTTTTTTTTTAACAAGTGTAGTTAATGAGGAAACTGATTATAATAAAATTAATTGAATATTTGACTTTAATTTCTTCATATCAGTAACGTAATAATACTTTAGAAATTTTGATTTACAATTTTTTGTGTTTGTATACGCATAAAACTTGAATGAACCTTCTAGATTATGGTTAGCGAAAGTTAAAAAATCGCATTTTTCAAAATATTTCAAAAACTAACAAAGTTATAAAAAAAATTATAGAATAAGAAATTGTAGGTTTTTTCTTACTGAACAATTTGCTTTTTTTAATTTTTGTAGGACAAAATTTGACTGAGTTATGACAATTAGAAGCTCAAAACTAAGTTCCAAGACCGCCTTTCCTGAGCCCTTTTAGCTTACAAATCTAAAAAACGAAGGTCTCAAAAAAACTGCAAATCACAGAACTTAAAGTGCTTTAAATTTCTTACAAAATGGGTTTTTAACTAAATTTATAACTTTAAAATTACAAAAGTTATGGTAAAAAAATTAATCGCATTTTTTCGGTAAAATTTTCAGAGCGGGTAAATTACCATCATCTTTGTGTATTTTTAAAACATTTTGTACAATACATCCATTTATAATGTATATATATTTTTTTATTTGTTATTAATTTAATAAAATAATATTAAGAATAAATTCAATAAATTTAAAAAAAAATAATTATACCATCATAATCGCACATAATTTTTAGGAAATTTTTCTTTAAGGGGTTGGTCTTCCATAAGGGTTTTTTGGGTGGCTGAAAAGTTGGAATATATCATAGATAATTTGAAAACCAATAAAAAGTTTATAACTCAACATATGCATACCATTAAAACATCTCAAGCTTCCAATAATATTTTTTTGTTTATTATTATAAGGGATGGTTTTTAAGGGTTGCAACTTTGTAATGAGTCGTAAGCTTTCTAATGAATAACAAAATAAATGCAATACATTGTGAATGCACCAAAAGAATATTTTAAACTGTTAAAAACTTCTTTTCTATTTTTTTGGCCATGGAAGGGTAGTTTTTAAGAATTTTGAGGGCCGAAAAGTAATTAAATTTCATAAATTATATTAAAAAACATGAAAGGAACTTTATCCAAGTTATTTGAACATGAATTGATTCATTAAATCTGCGATTTTCGCATTTTTTTTGTACAAGGGTAGTTTTCACGCCCAAATAGAAAAAAGCACACATCTAGACAATATAACTTTTGAAGTGGGGGGTCAGATGTGTTTGTATGCAAATTTTCAGGAAAATACATGCTATCCGAAAAAATTAGGAGCTTTTGCCTTATTTTCGAATTCAATGACTGGACTAGTAGAGATTTATTAAAATTATAAGAAAAGTAAAGAAATCAGGAGCCCGATATTTAGCATAGTTAATACCTTTAATTGAATTACCTTATATTAAAAAATATTCTCATTAAATAAACTTACACTGCGAAAAGAATAATAAATTAAAATTTTATTCTCGGCTTTATTACGCAGGTTTAATTTTTTTTTTACTAAAATATTGTATGTAATACCTATAAAAGTTTTATAAAATAATTTTTTAAAAAGATTTTATTAGTGACACTTTTTAATCATATCAGGAAAAACCATTTTACAAAATGTGTACTTAGGCAGAATTATTAAATAAAAATCCATCAAT